TTAATTCTCAGGGTCAACAGTAGTATTATCCAGGATCTCTTGTTTGCGATGAGTCACTTCTGTCCTCCAGCTTCCCAGATTCTTTCTTTGTGTTGTCTTCAGAGGTTTGATTATAAAAGATCTCGGTGTGAGTCTCTTTGAATGCATGTTACCTGGAGTTGTTGAGTTTCTTGGCTGTTCATTTCATGGCTCATCAAAGTTGGGAAGTTTTCAGTCATTATTCCTTTAAATGCTCTCTGCTCCTTTTCCTGTTCTCTGAGACTTCTGCCAGGCCTGTGTTTGCTGTGTGTGTCCCACGGGTCCCTGATGCCCTGCTCACTGTTCTTCGGTCTCTCTGCCTCCGTCCCTCAGAGTCACTGCTTTCCACTGCCCTGTGTTTCAGTCACCGGGTCTTTCTTGTGCCTTGAATGCCTTTAGTGTATTTTTCATTGTAGTTTTTTTACTTTTCAGTTTCAGTACTTCTTTTTCAGGTTTTCTGTCTCATTATTTGTATTTTCATACATAATTGCTTTACTTTCTTACCTCTTCCTTTAGTATTTTGAGCAATTTGAGACTGTTGTTGTTATATTTTTTGTGTAGTCGATCTACTTTCCCATATATATATATATATATATATATATATTTTTTTTTTTATCCTCACCCGAGGACATTTTTCCATTTTTTGTTCAGGTAGAGTAGGAGGGGGAGAGAGGAACAGAGAGAGAGAGAAACATTGACGTGAAGGGACACATCGAGTGGCTGCCACCCGCACGACTGACCAGAGCCGGGGACAAACTGTAACCGAGGTACATGCCCTTAGCGGGAACTGAACCCGGGTCTCTCCAGACCGCAGGCCGACGCTCTAACCGCTGAGCCAAACCGGCCAGGGCTACTTTCCCATATTTTAAAAGGATAACTTCTCCTGGTTTATTTTTTTCTTTGAATGGGCCATACTCTCCTGTTTCTTTGTATACCTTTTCATTATTTTGTTGAAAACTGGACATTGGAATCTAATAATGTGGTAACTCTGAAAATCATGTTTTTCTGTTCCCTACCATATGCTGTTTTTTTTGTTTGTTTGTTTGTTTTTTAATTATTACTTTTTTTTTTTTGGTAGGCTCTCTATGCCAAAGATCAGCTGGGTCTTCTCATTTTTTTTCTCAGCCTGTGCCTTTCCCTAGGCATGCATGGTCACTTTCAGCTTTCTCCAACTTGCTTTTGAATGTCCTACTCTTTAAGTACCCTGGAAGTCACTTCGGGGTGTGGGGGCTCGCAACAACGGGGCCAGCTTCTATGTCTGCAGCTCTGCGATAAGAAGTAGCGGTCCACGGTTAGAGCACAGATCCCCAATATTTGGAGGACAGAGTCCTTTTTGCCCACGTTCATTCCCTCAAGCTGTGTACAGGTGCTCCAGGATCGGTGTGGGCCCTGTGAAGCTGCTCTGTACTTAGAGCTGACCTTGACTGAAATATACCAGCTTACCACCCAAGCTTTCTCCTGGAGTTGTCAAGCCTGCCTTAGCCCAGAGCTCCAAAGGGTTGTATCGGACAGACTGACAGTGCAATGGTTTCTAGGTGGAAAGGCAGATTTCCAGTGCTTCCTGCTCCGCCGTCTTCCTAGAACCCTTCTAGGAACAGTTCACTTGTGTATCACTATGAACGTTGTGTCTCCCACTGAAGTGTCATCTCCGTGAGGACAGTGATCTGTTTCTTGTTCATCACGCCTCAGAGCCTGGAACAGCTGACATACCGTAGGTGCTCAGTAAGTGCCTGTCAAATGAATCTGCACTACAGCAGATATGTTTGCGTGGTAGCTAGACGTTACTGAAGGACGGGAGCAAAGGGAATTTGACTTTACTAAGCATAGTCAACTGGGGAGTATAGCCTGCTTTCTTCACCAGGAAGTTAAACCTTCACACACCCCATTGAACACCAGTCTGTTCCCTACAGACCAGGGTGGGTAACACCTGCACAGCAGGAGCCAAGGTGTCCGCTGTAGGGCCTGTCAGTCGAGCCTGGGAAAGAATGGATTGGTTAGAAGGTGGACTTAGCCCAAGCCCCAGAAGCCCCGGAAGCCTGGGAAGCTGATTGGTTATTTTGAAAAAGTGCCTGGTCCTTCCCAAGCCTGAGATAATACAGTCCCAGCTATCAAAGCCGGTCTCTCTCGTGGTCAGTAACACTCACTAGCCCATTTCATTCGTGTGTTCACTCCTTCCTTGTAGCAACTGTGTGGGTCTAGCACTCACGTGGGGCCCTTGGCCGACCACACAGGCTCCAAAGAACTAAGCTTTAATACGACACAGAAACCTGGACATGCCTTTGTTTTGGCCTTGATGAAGACAAGAGTGGATTTTTTCCATGGCGGGACAGGTGGAGATGGGATAGTGGAAACCCAGGGGCAGCATTCCATGTGAACAAAGCTTACCACGCAGTCTCATATGGATCTGTGGCATGCTTTCCTTGTGGATCCCGTGGAAGAACATAATTTCCATCCGCAGCAGACATGGTGGTTGTGCCCAATCTGGAGCATGAGTGTTGCGAGTTTCTTTGGTCTCTGAAACTGACACCAGTACATAGTTCCTGCTAGAGACTCTGGTCTGAGTCTAGCACTCCTTTTACACACTGGATTCCCGGTTTCATGTTTACTTTGGCACCTCTTCTGTCTTGTTGCTGTTGTCACACATACTTTTTTAAGGTAATGATCTAAAATTTAAGAGTCTCACACCAGCAGCTGTGTGAGTCCCAGCTTTCTGCCAGGCCTGCCCTTTATTATCTTTATTTATTTATTCTCACCAGAGGACATTTTTGCATTTATCTTCAGAGCAGGAGGGAGAGAGGAAGGAAGAGAGAGAGAGAAACATCGGTGTGAGAGAAACACATCAACTGGTTGTCACCCACACAAGCTCAACTGGGGCCAGGGACAAACTGCAACCGAGATACATGCCCTTAGTGGGAACCGAACCTGGGAACTCTCTGGTCCATGGGCTGACACTCTGACCACTGAGCCAAAGCAGCCAGGGCCAGGCCTGTCCTGTAGATAGGGCCGCCGCTCTGTGGCTCTGCAGTGATTCTTTCCTTGTCAGGATGATAGTCATTTAGTTGTTGTGTTTCTTTGTTTGCTCTCAGTTCTCCCATCGAGGCTGTGAGTTCCAGTAGGTGAGAAACCATGTCTCTTTCGTTCGTCACCTCACACCCCAGTCCTAGCGCAGCATCTGGGATCAGGTGCATTTGAGGACCAGACGGGTGGGTGAGCAGGTGGCACCCAGGACCTGAGATGGTCCACGCACACAAGGTGTGGGTGTGACGTGACCCACTTTTTCTTTCACCAGACATACTTCTTCAGGAACCGCCCTTGGAGCGGCCAGCTTGGCTGCCAGTGCTCAGTTCAGTTCCGAAACCCTTCTGGGCGTCGCCTTCTGTCAGGCGTTTTAAGAATCAGCAGCATGTCTGTTTAGGAATTTAGCATTTATAGTTATTTACATGTTTTTTTTATTGAAATAGTCATACTCATTTTGAAATTAGGACACTTAGTTGCAGATAGAAAGTAAATGTGCCCGTATCGAAAAGCAGGTGTATGACAGGGTGGACTAGAGTCCAGTGCCCCAGCGCGGACATGGTGCATTTTCTGCTTCACCCACAAGAATGCCTTGTCCAGTCTGTGTGTTCTCTAGGAAAAGGGAAGATCACTCTGGCATCGTCCCGTAATACTAAGTGCATGTTGTAAGGCACATCAGAAATCAAACTTGTTTTTGAGTCGAGGTGTCTAGGTGGTCAGCATAAGTGCTCTGTTTTGTTTTGTTTGTAGAGACTTCTGGTTTCCAGTTATAAAGTGCTGTTTTTAAAACTGAACTAAGACTTTGGCTCCTATAATTGGTTAGCTGCTGGCACCCTGTTGTTGTGCAGGCGGCCTGCAGGGCAGGGTCGGGCGTGCGGGCACCTCTCTTCCTGCTCTCCGTGCGGCTGCTGTGCGGCTGCTCTGCGTCTCACTGGAGAGAGCGCTGGGCTGAAATGTTCTCCAGCCGCCTTTGGTTTTAATTCTGCCTGGACTCCTTAAACGGGGACTCTAAGGCTGGCGTCCCAAAATACAGCCTACAGGCTACTCGTCTGAGGCTTGTTCCACCATTCCGGGGAGGGCTGGCTGACCCAAAGGTGTCCTCTGGCCCTTAGTGTAAGTCACTTTGCTCAAAAGACCAGAGGAGACACTAGTGCCAGGACGCAGGGGCTGCTGTCTGAGGTCAGGCACCCTCTTCGTGAAGACAGCCTCAGCAGCTGCTGCTCACTTGCTTCCTACTGTACTCTCTGAAAATACATCCGTTTTCAGGTATATTTCCAGATGCGGGTCACATGCATAGCCCCTGGCTTATGCCACCGTTAATAGGTCAGCTGTTTTGAGCTGTTTGCCAGCTATGACACCTAGAAAAGGGCAGGGGTGGGGATGACGACCTGCCTGCTCGTGGTGACCCTGAGCTGCTTTATGCTGCGTGGTCCCAGCATCCCTTTTTAGCCTGATTTTCTCATGCGTGATGGACTGCTTTGTGCTAACCCTTTCTACAGGCCTGCCATCTTTGTGAGCTTTTCTTTATTGATTTTAGAAGAAGGGAGAGGGAGAAGGAAACATTGATGACAGAGAACATCGACTGGCTGCCTCTGGCATGTCCCCCACTGGGGCTCGGGCCACAATCTGGGCATGTGTCCTGACCAGGAATCGAACCGGGACCTCCCAGTGCAGGGTTGGCGCTCAGCCACTGAGCCACACCAGCCGGGCTCATTGCTTGTTTTTAACCTGGGAGGGTTTTCAGATGTGTCTGGCAGTGGTTTGATCTCTGTGTGGTTTCCAAGTAGATTCCAACAATTTGTTTTTATTAGTAGTACACTTTTTATAATTGATAGAAGAAGGACTATCTGGAGCAGATTCCATCTGTGAAATGTAGAATTTTTATTAAAGTGTGAGAAATGGAACGAATATCATGAAAGGTGACATTTCTGCTCATTTGACTTCTTGATGATAGTCTTGTTTCTAGTTTGAGGTTCTGAAAACCTTTTTAAAGAACCCCTCTGTGGAGAAAGAAGACAGCTGCTGAATTCTGAAGTCATATAGTGAGAAATCATGAAGTTTCTGGCTGCCCAGCCCGGAGTAGCATTAGCCCGAGGAGGAGTTTTCTACCTTCAGCACTCCCAGCAGATGGGCTTCGTGTGTGCACCTGAATCCTCTGGCTCCCCTGCCAGCTGGAGCAACTCACAGTGAGAGGTCAGAGAAGAGAGGCCTGACCTGAGAGCTGTGGGCCGCTGGGCCGCTGTGCTTCCAGGCCAGGTGTGGTCGTGGTTGTGTTTGAGGGGGTGATCTCACTTTCTCTCTCTCCCGACCTCTCTCTCCCTCTTCTTTCTGTCTCTCTCTCTCTCAATATGCTTTTCCTGCTTTCTGTTGTGCCTCATAGTGACCCTCCTACAAGCTGATCTCCAAATGCTAGACATTGTGAGCAAGATCCCCCCCCCACAACTCCCTTTCTATACTGTCCATCTCACCTTCCCAGTTATATCTGAAATGAGCAGTTAAAAAGCCGTTTGGTATAAAATGCAAAATTTATAAATCTATTAAAGCCATTTTCAGAGTAAACAGGCCCCCTTTGAACTTGCTTTACACAGGAGATTTATTTCCTAATCTGGAGTTGTGGCCAGACAGGACTCAATTTCTTTCTTCCCCTTTAGAGCTGTCCCTTTGCTTGGAGAAGGCCCTGATCACCACAGCAACGCATGGGCCAAGTTCCCTGCGTCTAGCTCTCCGGCCATCTTGACCACCAAGAGTGAGACAGGCAGGAGCGGCACAGCTGTCTCTGAGAGCCAGGGAGGCCCAGCAGCCCTGGTCAGTTTGGCTCAGAGGTTAGAGTGTGGGCCCTCAGACAAGAGTTGCAGGTTCACTCCCTGGCTGTAGGCAGGGTCGTGCGAGAGGCAGCCTATCGTGTCTTTCTCACATCAGTGTTTCTTGCTCTGTCTGCCTCCCTTCTTCCCTCCCCCTCTGTCTAAAGAAAAAAAATCAATGGAAAAATAGCCTTGGGTGAAGATTAAAAAAAATGTTGCGAGGTCTGTAAGAATTTGAAAAACTCCCAGAAAGACTTGGCCACTGCCAACGTGACCAGCTTCACCTGGTCAGGAAAGTTACCTTTCAGTTGAACCTGACTCTTGAGTAAATGGCTTGCTCTAGGGTGTCTTTTCCCCATCTTGAGTTAGCCGGGGAGGGTCAGCACTGATTTCTACCTCACTCACATGCTGGTTCCCTCACAGCTTGTCAGACTGGGTGCGGGCGTGCGCTCTCCCCACAGGAAGCTGGCCTGTGGGCAGAGGAGGGTCCCCTGAACCTGTGCCATGTGTGCCTGGGCAGACCGGTCCCCAGGGCCGGGAGAGCATGGCTGGAGTCCCAGGAGTGTACACCACTGTTGTTTTCTTTCCTTCCTTCATGCCGGAGGTGCTTGGCCTGGGTTAAACCAGCGTGCGAGAGTGCCATCTGTCGGAGCTCTGCCTGTCTCGGTGGGGGCCTTGCGAGGGCTGGTTCGTCCCGCCTCCTTGGGTAAGGAGACGGGGAGGGGCGTTTCAGAACTTGTCTGTGCTTCTCCTGGCCCTGTTGGCCTCAGCGCCTGTCCTGGTGGCCACATTTTCTGATACAAGCCCTGGGATATGGGACCCTGACTTTCAACAAAGTTGGTTTGCTCTTTTTCCTATTTGTTAATTTCATTAAAGGAAAAGTATGAAGGTATAAAAATTTAAAACTACAGAGATGTATATAATGATTGAGTTTCCCTTATTTAGAAGAAACTAGTTTTCATAAAGTAGGGACTCTTTTCGACAGCCTTCTATCTCTGCTTGCTCTGCAACTCTCCTGGGCCAGGAGGTTGTCCCTTGTTGGTTGTGATGCTGCTGGTGGTGGCTACCTTCATGAGCACTCTAGCACCCGGGACTGCACGCTTTCCACGTACTGACTCCTCTGGCTCATGACTAACCTTCGAGGTGGGTACTTGCAGACCCTCATTCACAGATGAGCCTACTGAGGCTCAAAGCCCTGAATCCCTTACCCAGGCTGGGATGTGAAGCCAAACAGGCCAGCTCGAGGGTTCTTCCTGGTGACCCCTGCCCTGTTGTCACCCAGCTACAGTCAATTTGAGTCTTCCAGGTGGTCTCTGAAACCTCTGGATTTCGGGAGGCAACAGGCTGAGTATTGGTGCTTGACACCCCTCGTCCTGCCGTGGTGCTTGGCTCAGCCCCAGGTTGTGGTGTGAAGCAGGCAGACCCTCAGGCTGTGGTCTGCAGCAGTGTGCAGACCTGTTCCCACCGACTAGAGCGAGTCGGAGCCCTGCTGCCCCCCTGTAAGCAGTGTCCCCTCCCCCAGTCATCCCAGGCAGCAGCTGGTCCCCAGGTGACCTGGGCTGGACAGGGTTGTTCGTTTTGGGACCTGCGTGGTCTGAGGACCTGGGATTGCAGTGGAGAAAGCAGCTGTCCTGCTGGGTTGAAGGCCATCCCACCCAAGTGTGTCACCTAAAGCTTCTGGGTTCTCATCACCTTGGGGCCTACCTGTGTTTTAGGCCGATCGCTGTAACTCCTGGGAAAGCGACTCCAGCACAGTCGTGTCTGCTCCAGCAGGCACTCCCCCTGCTCCCGGGACACACTTCAGCCACACTTTCCGGGGGCCAGAGGATCCTGCGTCCTGGTATCTGCCCTAGGTTCAGCCTGGGTTCGGGGCCAGAACACCTGGCCTGAGCTTCCTGTTGGGGGCAGGGGTGGTGCCATCAGTACCCAGGCAGAGTCTGCCACCTTAGAAACCACTGTAATTAGCCATGCGCCCAGGTCGGGTGAGAGCGGAATGTACACACTTGGCAGGGGTGGCGGGTCTTTCAGAAGTAGGCTGATGGAAAACTACTTTTCACAGGTGTTTATACAAGAATGTCGTTCATTTTTTTATGGTGAATGAGAATCTAGGTGTATTTGGAAAGGAAGATGAAAAATTAAACTAAACACTGACCTAGCTGAGTTCACAGTTTAAATCGGAGCAGAACCATCTCATTTTGGCCAGGACAGCCCACCCTGAACCTGAACCTCAGGGTCAAAGCAGCTCGGAGCTCAGTGGGTCTGTGCTGCATTCAGAGTCGATGTTATCCTGGGAAAGGATGCAGAAACACTTACATGTGGGGGTGGAGGGGATGGGACATCCAGCAGGTGGGCAGGGTCACGTCACTCCCACTCTGGGAGCCTGGGGTGCTTCGCGGGGTCCTGGTTCCCAGCCCTCCTTTCCTGGAAGATTGCTGTGCTCCCAGCGCCACCGTCCTGCGGGTGGCATGGGGGGGGGGGTGCTTTGTGTGACGGACTCTGCCTGTCTGCCAGGGCCTTACAGGGCGCTTCTGTTGAAGTGACCCACATGGTGGCTCCCCTCACTAACTCACCCTTGACTAAACACCCCATGTCTCCCCTGAGCTGTTGCTTTGGCACAGGGCATCAGTGAGTGGGGGAGGCTTGAGGGAGGGAAGGAGGGCAGCTGTGGAAGAAACACACTTGCTGAGAGTGGACTCACACAGTGCACAGACACCCCTGGCCTCCTGCTCTCCCAGCGGGGGGGAGTGCTGTGAGGGCGTCTCAGTGCGCCGTGGGTGGGCGAGGCAGCCCTGGTGCTGAACTCCCTGTGGGTGTCCATGCGGCCTGTGCCAGGAGGACACCTGTGGGCCATTGCAGATGCCATCCAGGGGATGCCCGCTCAGGAAGGTCATCTGCTCAGGGAGGAGAATAAAGATTGGTCTGGTTTTCTTTGTCCTTTGAAAAATTTTTTCTAGTGTCACAAATACCCAGGAATTTAAAATGGTAATGAGTATTCCTTAAGTTTCCCTAAATAGGTCTCTGAAGGAGAATCAGGTGAGTACTGGTATGTTAGTGCCTCCTGTAACACGCCCCAGGTAGCTGGGCCCCGAGCTGAATGACCCCAGCCTGTCCTGGGCCACTGTGCACCTGAGGCACCCTGAGGCGTGAGGCTTTGCCCTCTGCTCGCTCAGTGCAGAGAGACCAGTTCCCTGAGACCTCAGATGGGACGCTCGGGACCTAGGCTGGTGCTCGCTGGCTCAGAGCTGACGTCCTCACAGGCATGTCTGGCTCTGCGTGCACTACGGGAGGAGGGCTGGCAAGTTTCTTCCGTTCCCATTTTTGTCACTATTTGTTCGGTTTTGGTTCTTCCAGGAAGAGTCTGCTGACGGTGCGGGTCATGGACTTGGTCACCCCGACGGCCATCTTGCCCCTGCTGTTGGGCTGTGTGGGACTTTTCAGTTTCTTCAAGCTGCGGCAGCGCGAGCGGATGAAAGCCTATGTCCAGGACGCTGTGGTGGTCATCACGGGCGCTACCTCAGGACTGGGGCGAGGTGGGTCCTGGGGGCAGTGCTGGCAGCTGGCAGTAGCACTGCCTAGGCTGGTGGAGCAGCTCGGCTGCACAGGAGCAAGGAAGCAGGATGGGCTGGGGGCTGGGCACAGGAGCGATTGCTGAGAGGCCCTGGAGGAAGACTGGCAAGCTGGAGACAGCACCTCTCATCTGAGGGGCAGCCTTACTCAGTGCCAGGGGGTGTTGAAATAGGGCTCTTTATGTGAAGGCTCCCCATTGTCTTTTTTTTATTCCTCACCCAAGGGTATTTTTTTTCTCCATTTATCTTTAGATAGAGTGGAAAGGAGGGAGTTGGGGGTAGGGGAGAAACATCTACGTGAAAGAGAAACATCGACTGGTTGCCTCCTGCAGGACACGGACCAGGGCCAGGGACAAACTGCAACCAAGGTACATGCCCTTGGCTGCAATCAAATCAGCGACTCTGGTCCACGGGCCGATGCTCTAACCACTGAGAACACCGGCCAGGACCAAGGCTCCCAATTTTGAGATACAGACAACTAACTGCCCTTGTGAGGTCCAAGCAGAGCACGCCCTTCCCTGGGTCCAGCCAGCACCCTGGTTCATGGCCTCAGGTCCTTCCCACACCTGTGATTGGTGGGACCACGCCTTCACAGCTTTGGCAGGGCTGGAAACAGTGAATGATGCCTTAGCTGACCGTTTCTCCAATTTGGATCCATTCTAATTCTGTGAACATGTTCATCATCTAGGTCCCCATCTGTCACCACCACATCCTCCCAACACGAATGAGTTTGTAGGGCTGTCATCATTTCTCTTCCAACCGTGTATATTGACTTCGGCAGTGAAGGGGAGCAATATATGTCACCCCAAATATGCCACTTTGGCAGGTTGATTATTTTGAATTAAAGTTACTTAAGAAACAGCTGGTGCAGGAAGGACAGGACACGCTGACCCTCCTCTATTCCCCGGAAAGCAGGAACTCAGTCTCCCACGTGACAGCTGCCCTCCCGACAGCCAGCGACATTGTGATACCTAGGTGAGGTGCTGGGTGGGCGCTGCAGTGCCGGGGGAGCACTCTGCATTACCTGATCGTCTAGCCACTGTGCTGCAGCTGAAACCAATGCACAGTGATACTGAATGCAAACTGTAGCTGAAAACATCCAAAGGTGCCGCCCCGTAGCAGGAGGCAGAAGCCTGCCTGTCACCAGAGAAGGCACCTTCAGGGCGGGCAGGCTGTGTGCACACACCTTGTCACCACCCGATTACTGCCCTCAGCGGAGCCCTGTCCTGCCGATTCTTAACAAATACATCGTGTTTGTTTTTGTCTAAAAGGTATAAGAGCTACCTGCCAGAAAAAAAAAAAGAAAGCCCTGGCCAGTTTGGCTCAGTGGTTGAGCGTCGGCCTGCAGACCAGAGAGTCCCAGGTTCGGTTCCCGCTAGGGGCATGTACCACAAAAAAAAGAGCTATCTACCCTGGTCATTTCTTAGAGCTTCATATTTGGCGGGGGAGGGGCTCCTGTATGTACAACCAGGCCTGAGGGAGGGAAGGTGCGTTTGCGTGTGCTGGCTTGTGCTTTGTATCATTGAATTCTTAAAGCTGAGTCACAGAAGGTGCGAGTGCTCTAGGAGTTCTAGCCTAGCAGTGTGAAGCCAAGATTTAAGCCCACATCTCTGATTTCCAAGCTCAGGCTTGTCTTACCTGCGGGGGGTATGACCAAGCAGAAGGAAGGGTGGGCAGCAGGGGGCTCGCAGAGCTGGGTGCTGCGTGGCTGTGCGGGGCTGGTGAGCCCTGGGGCTGCAGGGACCCAGGTGCACACAGGGCCTGTGCACAGGTAGGCGGGCTGCAGGTGGCCCGCGTAGCCTGGGAAGGCTTTGTGCACCACTGTGGTGTTGGGTGGTGCATGGGGTGAGCCCTGGCCTGTCATCAGATATGCAGACTGGCTTGGGGACAGCGGCCTCCAGGACCTTTGCCACTGGCGGTTCTCTGACCTCACTCTGTTACTATATATAGGTTAGTCAGCAGCTGCTTCTGTGTCAGAAAAGGATTTTTTAAAGAGTCCTTGAGGAGTATTGGAGAGCTGGTTAAGGAAAGGTGTGGTGGCAGGTGCTCCAATGCGTGGACCCTTGAGAAGGATGGGTAAGACAGATATTGTTCTCTGCATCGGTCCATACTTCCTTTCCAGACACCAGGACTGTAAAGGGAGTGGAAAAGTAATTAAAAAAACAAAACAAGACTTCTGGTCAAGATGGCAGCATAGGTAAACCCAGTATCGATCCTCCCACAACCACACCAGAATGACAACTAAACTACAGCACAACCATCCTTCAGAACCGCCTGACACCAAGCTGAATGGAAGTCCTACAACTACAGAATTAAAGCAGCAGCCACATCAAGACTTGTAGGAGGGGCTGAGGCAGACAGGCTGGTCCCACACCCACATGTGGCGAATAAAAATCAGGAGGACACCTCGGCTGGGAAGGTGTTGAGGGGGATTGAGGATTGAGGGGTCCCCATCCCACACCATGTGCCCCGCTCAGGGTTCCAGTGCCAGGGAGAGAAGTCCCCATCACTTCCAGCTGTAAAACCAGTGGGAACTGAGGCTGAGGGAGGCTGAGGTGGCTGGAGCCCCAGGCAGCTCCTCTTAAAAGGCCCGCACACGGACTTTCTCGGACTTGCTGGCTCCAGCGTGGGGGAGCCAGCTTGAAAGGCACCAGAGACATATGGGGAAGAACTGAGCTGTTTGGCATTGGAGGGAGGCCTGAAGAGGCAGCTTTCTCCTGGACAAATGTGCTATCAGAGGCCTTTGTTGCTTTGGTGAGCCCTTCCTGGGGGCGGCAGACAGCCGCCATATCTGGGACTCCAGCAACCTGGCTCACACTGGTAGCCCCGCCCTGGTGATTCCCTGAGGCCCCACCCTGCCCCACCCAACTTTCAGGCCCACCCAAGCTGTTGCCACTTGCTTTACCATAGGATTGGCCTGTGTTGGATCCTGCTTCAGGTTTTCCTAAATTCTTTCAAACAAGCAGCATCTGGTCTCAGCTGGCCCCATATCGCTCGTTAAGTAATACACAGAAACAAACACAGGGAGGCAGCCAAAATGAGGAGACAAAGAAACAGGTCCCAAATGAAAGAACAGAACAAAACCCCAAGAAAAGAACTAAGCGAAATGGAGATAAGCAACCTAACAGATGCTGAGTTCAAAATACTGCTTATAAGGATGCTCAGTGAACTTAGTGAGAACCTCAGTGAACTTAGTGAAGGCCTCAAGAGCATCAAAAAGGACCAGTCAGAAATGAAGGATGCACAGTCAGAAACGAGGCTTTAACTGAAATAAAGAATAATTTACAAAGATTCAATAGTAGAGTACATAAATCCAAGAAGCAAACCATCGATTTGGAATATAAGGAAGCAAAAAACACCCAATCAGAACAGCAAAAAGAAAAAGGAAAAAAAAAAAAAATGAGGATAGTATAAGGAGCCTCGAAGACAACTTCAAGCGTACCAACATTCACATCTTGGGGGTGCCAGAAGGAGAAGAGAGAGAACAAGAAATTGAAAACCTATTTGAAACAATAATGGCAGAAAAATTCCCAACTTGGTGAAGGAAACAGACAAACAAGTCCAGGAAGCACAGAGAGTCCCAAACAAGATGAACCCCAAGAGACCCACACCAAGACACATCATCACCAAAAAGCAAAAGGTTCAAGACGAAGAGAGAATCTTAAAAGCAGCAAGAGAAAAGTAGTTACCTATAAGGGAGTTCCCATAAGACTGTCAGCTGATTTCTCAAAAGAAACTTTGCAGGCCAGAAGGGAGTGGCAAGAAATATTTAGAGTGATGAAAAGCAAGAACCTACAACCAAGATTACTCTATTCTGCAAAGCTGTCATTTAGAATCGATGGCCATATAAAGAGTTTCCCAGACAAGGAAAAGCTAAAGGAGTTCATCACCACCAAACCAGTATTATATGAAATGATGAAGGGTCTTTTTGAAGTAAATGATAAAATATATGAACAAACAAAATGGCAATGAATACATATCTATCAACAACCGAATCTACAAACAAAATGAACAAGCAGAACAGAAACATTCTCATAGATACAGAGAACATTTTGTTGGTTGCCAGATGGGAGTGGGTTTGGGGGAATGGGTGAAAAAGGTGAAGGGATTAAGAGGGACAAGTTAGTTGTTAGACTGACAAACCTCAAAGGGCAGGGAGGGAGTGGGGTGGGAAGAAATAAACCAAAGAACTTATGTGCATGCCCTGGCCGGTTTGGCTCATTGGTTGGAGCGTCGGCCTGTGGACCAGAGAGTCCCAGGTTCGGTTCTCGCTAGGGGCACGTACAAAAAAAAAAAGAACTTATATGCATATATGCATAACCAATGGACACAGACAACAGTGGGGGGAAGGGCAGGGGCGGGGCGGAAGTGGGGTGGAGGGGGCAATGGGGGAAAAATGACAAACGTGTAATACATTTAACAATAAAGATAAGTTAAAAATAAATAAATATATGTGTGTGTGTGTCTAAAACAACACCCTGCGTTGTGTGTGTGTGTGTGTGTGTGTGTGTATATATATATATGGAGAGAGAGAGAGAATGTCTGCCATCTCCTGAATTGTAACTCACTCTGCTTATGTTCTGCCCCATGTAACATGTTAGGACTGGACTCCAGATATCTCTTTCCCCTCCAGCCGCAAATAATAGGAACAGATTCTTCTCTAAAAACAATAGGGAAGGCTTCACGGGTGTGCGAGTCATCCTTGTGCAGAGCCGGGCTCACCTCGGTATCGGTCCAGTTTCAGTGCATGTGCTGCTGCGTAAGTGAGCGCTAGGAGCAGATTCTTCACCCCGCTCACGTGCTGACCCCCTGCTGGTGGCTGCCGAGGACAGATGTTTGGATGCCCACGTGAGCCAGCCTGAGCCCTGAAGTTGTGAACAGTGATCTTGATTTACAAAAGCCAGGAGAGGCTTCTGGCCGCCCTCGGTAATAGTACTTGAGGCCCTTTTCCTTTTGCTCTCGGCCTTCTTGACCCCCCCCCCCACCCCCCGTCAGCTTTTTCACAGAATGGACGTGGAACCTTCCAGTCCGTTACTTTCATTCCTGTGCTCCTCATACGTACTGATTTCTCCCCTTGTGGCTCTGCTAGGGAGCAAAGCTTAAGCAGAACATAGGTGCCATTTTCCAGAAACCTGATACAGCAGCCCCTCCCTCCCCGCCCCTGCTCTGCGTGTCTGCTCTTTTCAGTGGTGCCTCCTCACATGCCCGCTGTGGGGGTCAGGGCAGGGCACCAGGGGCAGGGAGCAGCAAGGCTGGGAGCTCCGGCCCTTTGGGAATGCTGCTGACGGCTGAGCAGGAGTGCTGCGTCTGGCTGAGTGCAGCCCAGCCCAGCGCAGCCCAGCCCGGATGCCTTCACTGCTCTGTGGAGAACAGCAGGGCAGGAGGACAGTGGCATGGCCCTGACCAGACCACCGGGGACACGCGAGCAGTGGCTGCAGCTGTCTGGATTTGTGCCCTTTGGTGGGATGAGCCAGTGAACACGCCAACCTGAGCTTCCAAGGTGAAGCAGCACACCTGAAGCTGTGCTAACTTCCAGAAAGCTGCCTGGGCATGCGGGGAGGTGGTGCCCGGCCTGCAGAGCCAGCATGGACCTGCAGGGAGGCTGCGGGCTGGGGGCTCGCCCCGGAGGCAGTCCATTGGCGCCGCTCTCCTCCTGGAACCTGCACTTCTCCCCCATCTGGGAGCTGTTTAGCTGTGAGAAATGCTGACCCTTGGGCCGTCAGAACAGTGACCTCCCAGAGAGGAGGTGACCCCCGTGATCCCTCCCCTTCTCCAGGCAGCTCCCAACTTGTCCCCTCTGAACCGAGGGCACAGACACCACTGGGCTGCCTCAGCCTCTGAGAGTCGGGCTGCGGCCCAGGGGTCAGCTCGGGTGAGGGTCGTGCAGACCTGCCCCTGGGCTCTCGAGGGAGGCAGAGCTGGTGAGGACAGGCTGCAGTTTCCATGGTCACCGACAGTCTGTGCTCAGAACATTTTTGAAAGGCAGCTTAGAAATACAAAACCAATACTTATGTAGGACTTTTTAAATCGTGTTTGTATCTACTACTGTATCCACTTCAACTCATTCAATTCCAGTGCTGTTTTATCTGTATCTTACATAAGAGGAAAGAGAAACATAGAGGTTGTAACTTAACCCGAGATCACAGAACCAGTCAGTGTCAGCAGTCAGAGTTGAACACGTTTAGTCAGGACATGTTCGGGGGCGGGGCGAACAACAGCTAAGAGGACCTCACCCTCTACTTCCTCCCTCTTTCCCCATAGGCTAGCCCCCGGGTTCTGGTGGTCTCCCCTTTGCCCCTTCTCTTTGACCTCAGAGTTATGTGGGACCCTGGCTGGGCTAGTCCTGTAGATGCTGCTCCCACCATGGCTGACAGTCCTTCACTGAGACTCTGACACCAGAGTTTGGAGAAGATGAGTCGAGGTGTCCTCCCGTCTGTCAGGGGAGGTGTGTCCATGTGAGCACAGAGCTGCCGGTAGCCCATTTCACCCTGTGGAGGAGCCACACTGCAGAGATGCGCAAGGACATGAGCACTGAGAGAGGGTTCCTGCTGCCAGAGGCCTGGGCGGCCACCACTCCCACCCTTCCCATCCCTCCCTCCCGTCCCGGCCATTCAGCGCTTGCTCTTAACGCTGGAGCCAGCCTAGCACCCTCCTGATAGATCCTCTTTTCTTTGCCACATGCGAGCTGAGTCTCTCTTCTTGCTACCAGAAGAATACTGACCCGCAGAGGTGCCCGAGAGAGCCTGGACTGCTTCTCACCACAGGCAGCGATGTCCTCCTTGGGGCACTGGAACGTCAGGGGCTCCGTGGAGCCTGGTCTTTCCCGGCCTCTTCCTTCCCACCCAGCAGGAGGGAGCCTTTGAAAATGCAGCCACCCACCTGGGCCGGTTTGGCTCAGCGGTTAGAATGTCGGCCTGCAGTCCAGAGAGGCCCCGGTTCGGGTCCCGCTAAGGGCATGTACCTTGGTTGCATTTTGTCCGGCCCTGGTTGGGGTCATGTGGGTTTCAGCCACTCAGTATGTCTCTCACACTGATGTTTCTCTCTTCCTTCCTCTCTCCCTCCCCCTATCTGAAGATAAATGCAAAAAAAAAAAAAAAAAGTCCTCAGGTGAGGATTTAAAAAAAGAAAGAAAGTGCAGCCACCCTTTCTAATTTTCTGCTGTTGTAGACATCAGCATGTTTCAACTCTTTACTCTCCAGTTGTATTATTTCCCAGCCTAGCAGGGTGGGTGCACTCTCCATTTTCTGCCCCAGCTGTCACTCCGTGCCCCCAGGTGCTTGTCTCCTCTGCTCCCTCTGCCTCCTCCAGTAAACAATGGCCCCTCAGACTCCCCAGCCCTTCTCGACAGAGCCCTGTGTCCCCCATGACTCTCCAGAAACATGTAAACACCCAGTAGACTTGTACTGATTGCATTCAGGGGACCTGGGAGCAGGCTGGGCTATACTAGGACGCAGGCCTCTGCAGCCACAGTGCAGCAGCCCGCATTGCCTGGTCACCAGCGTGTCGTGTCACCTCGCCAAACTTCCTCCGTTGTGGAAAGGGATGATGCTCACAGGGTCATTCAGAGCTGAAGATGATCATGGAACGTCCTGAGCATAGTACCTATTCGTTCTGTCAGCCAGCCCCTGCCTTCCTGCCCTGTGGGTGTCAGCACACATCCGAACCTGAGCTCTGAGGCAGCAAGAGTTCCTCTGTCGTGGGACCGGAACTCCTAGCTCCACGCCTGCTCCACAACGGGGCTCATCCGTGTATGTTCAACACACATGGAAACAATACACGTTGTACAACATTGGGTCGGTTAGGGCTGCACTGGGGAAGGGAGACGTTGTGTTTCCTCAGCCACCAAGGTTCTCTCTTCTGCCTTCAGAGTGTGCCAAAGTCTTCTACGCTGCGGGCGCTAAGCTGGTGCTCTGTGGCCGGAACAGGGAGGCCCTAGAAGAGCTCACCAAAGAACTCGCTGCTTCTCAGGCCACCAAGGTGAGCCCACGGGTGTGTTTCTGTGGGGAAGGGGAGCAAGTCCATCCTCTGCTGAGACAGTGGCCCCCTCCTGAGCTACTGGACAAGCAGGGCGTCCACATGGTCACATGGTGCCGGGAGGGCAGCAGCACACCACACACAGGGCTCCTCAGCCTGAGGAAGAGCTGTCATCGGTTCAAGTCCCAGTCCACCACTTATGAGCCCTGCCCCGCTCCCCTTGCCCGGCTGATACCAGCTCATCTCAGTTTTGTTGGGCAGGGGAAGGCAGGTTGGTGATGACTTTAAAATATTTAATTATGGAAAAATACACACAACATAGTATATATCATTCTACCATTTATAAGTGCACAACTCAGTGGCATTAAGTATACTCATAGAGCATGTAATTATCACCACTGTCTATACCCGAAGCCTTTCATCATCCCTGAGAAATATTTTTACCCATTAACAATGAATTTTCATGCCCCCCTACGGCCCCTGGAAACCGTTGTTCTGCTTTCTGTCTCTATGAATCTGCCTAGATACCTCATATAAGTGGAAAGATATAATATGTGTCTTTTTGTGTCTGGCTACTTCACTAAGTATAATGGGAAGATATATTTGTCCTTCTGTGTCTGGCTACTTCACTAAGCATAAAGTTTTCAAGCTTCATTCATGTCGTAGCATGTGTCAAAATTTCATTTCTTTTGCCCTGGCCAGTGTGGCTCAGTTGGGTGGGTGTTGTCCCATGCACCCAAAGGTTGCCTGTCCAATTCCTGGTCCAGGCACATGCCCCAGTTGCTGGCTCGATCCCTGGTAGTGAGCATGGAGGAGGCAGCCCATGGATGTTTTGCTCTCACATCGATATTCCTGTCACTGTTTCTCTCTCCCTTCCTCTTTAAGAATCAAAATTTTAAAAAAATATATTTTGTAAAATCTCATTCCACTTTTATGGCAGAAAAATATCCCATTATATATGTATACCACATTGTTTATCCATTCATTTGTTGATGGACCCTGTGGTTGTGTCCACCTTTTGGCGATGACTATGAACACTGGTACACATGCACCTGTTTGAGTCCCTCCTCTCAGTGTTTTGGATTTACGCCTAGAAGTGGAACTGCTTGAGCACATGGTAGTTTCATGTTTAACCTTTGGAGGAACTGCCAGACTGTTTCCATAGCAGCAACACCACTTTGTGTCCCACCAGCAGTGCACAAGGGCTCCAGCCTCTCTGTCCCTTCCTTGCCAACGCTTGTCATTTTCTGTTGTTCTTAGTTACACCTACCCCAGGAGGTCTGGCCATCTTAATTTTTTTGCATACTCTTTTTAATTTTATTTCTCAATTACAGTTTACATTTGATATTATTTTGTATTAGTTTCAGAGGTAGAGCACAGTGGTTAGATAATCATACTTGACACAGTGTTCCCCCTGATATTTCCAGTATGCATCTGATACCACACTTGGTTATTAGAATATTATTGACTATATTTCCAGTGCTGTACTTTACATCCTGTGACTATCTTGTAACTTCCAACTGTACTTCTTAATCCCTTCACCTTTTTCATCCACAGTCCCCCAGCCAATCTCCCTTCTGGCAACCTATCTCAGTCTGCTTCAGTTTTGTTTATTTTGTTCTTTAGATGCCATACATAAGTGAAATCACATGGTATTTGTCTTTCTCTGACTGATTTATTTCACTGAGCATAATATCATCTAGGTCCATCCCTGGTGTAGCAGATGGTAATATTTCATTCTTTTCTATGGTCGAGTAATATTCCATTGTATATATGTACCACAGCTTTGCTTTTTTGTCCCCACCCAAGGACATTTTCATTGATTTTTAGAGAGAGAGGGAGAGAGAGGCACAGATATGAAAGAGAAACATCTATTGGTTGCCTTCTGTACACGCCCCAACCTAGGATCGACCAGGGATGGAACCCACAGTCTAGATATGTGTCCTGACCAAGAAACGAATCGGTGACCTTGTGGCATAGGGGCTGACGTTCTAACTGACTGAGCCACACTGGCTAAGGCTGTGCCACAGTTTTGTTATTCACTTGTCTATTGATGGGCTCTTGGGTTACTTTCATATCTTGGCTATTGTAAATAACAGAGTGTGCATACTCTTTTTTTATATTCATAATTTATTTTTATTTTTTCTCCAATTTTCCAGATTTTTAAAAATTGCATTTATTGGCGTGACATTAATAAAATTATATAGTCCGGCTAGTGTGGTTCAGTGGTTGAGCATCGACCCATGCACTAAGAGGTCGCCAGTTCGATTCCCGGTCAGGACACATGCTTAGGTTGTGGGCCCGATCCCCAATGTGGGGCATACAGGAGGCGGCCAGTCAATGTTCTCTCTCATTGATGTTTCCATCTCTCTCTCCCTCTCACTTCCCCTCTCTCTAAAAATCAATTAAAGGAAAAAAATTTAAAAATATAAAATAAAATTATATAAGTTTTAGGTGTACAATACTATAATACACCATCTATATATTGTATTGTGTGTTTAAAACCCCAAGTCATATCTCCTTCCATCATCATGTATCTCTTCTTTTTCCTCCCCACACTCACCTTCCCCTCTAGTAATCACCATGCTGTTATCTGTGTCTATGAGTTTGATGATTTTTTTTTTTTGCTAGCAATTAGGGAAATGCAAATCAAAACTAAATGAGATACCACCTCACACTTGTTAGAATGGCTGTTATCAACAAGGAAGGTAATGATAAGTGTTGGAGAGGTTGTGGAGAAAAGGGAGCCCTCATTCACTGCTGGTGGGAATATAGACTGGTGCAGCCACCATGGAAAACAGTGTGGCAGTTCCTCAAACATTTAAGAATAGAGTTACCATATGACTCAGCAATCTATCTCCTGGGTATATACCTGAAAAACTCAAAAACATGTATACACAAAGATATATGCACCCCTATGTTCATTGTGGCAAGATATGGAGACAACCAAAGTGTCCTGCATAGAAGATTGGATTGAGAAGATGTGGTACGTATACACAGCCTCAAGAAAAGATGAAATACTGCCATTTGCGACATGAGTGGGCCTTGCAAATATTATGCTAAGTGAAATAAGCCAATCAGAAAAAGCTTAGAACCATGTGACTTGATTCACATGTGGAATATAAAACTGAAACTCATGGACACAAACAGTAGTGTGGTGGTTACCAGAGGGAACACAGTGGGGATTTGGGGGTCAAAGGAGCTTAATATATGGTTGATAGAAGATTTGACTTTGGGTGTTGGGCACACAGTGCAATATACAGATCTTGTATCATAGAAATCTACACCTGAAACCTATATCACCCTACTAATGTCACCCCAATAAATTTAATAAAAAATAAAAAATTAACATTTAAGTCTTTAATCCATTTTGAGTTTATTCTTGTGTATGATATAAGAAGGTGGTCATTTCATTTATTTTGCATGTATCCTATTTTCCCAACACCAATTATTGCACAGACTATCTTAACCCCATGATATGTTCTTGCCTCCTTTGTCAAATATTAATTGACCATACAGGCATGGGTTTACTTCTGGGCTCCCTGTTCTGTTCCATTGATCTGTTTGTCTTCATTTATGCCAGTACCATCCTGTTCCAAGCACTGTGGCCTTGTAGTATAGTTTGATATCAGGTAGTGTGATTCCTCCAACTTTGTTCCTCTTTCTCAAGATTGCTGCGGCTATTTGGGGTCTTTTGTGGTTCCATATAAATTTTAGGATTATTTATTGTAGTTCTATGAAATATGCCATTGGTATCTTGATAGAAATTACATTGAATCTATAGATTACTTTGGGTAATATGGACATTTTGATGTTAATTCTTTCTGTCCATGAACATGGTATATGCTTCCACTTATGTAGCTTCAATTTCTTTCTTCGATGTCTTCTAAGTTTCTGAGGACAGGTCTTTTACATCCTTGATTAAATTTATTCCAAAGCATTTTCTTTTAAGCAACTGTGAATGGGGTTGTTTTCTTAGTTTCCCTTTCTGATAGTTCATTATTCGTGTATGAAACTTCAACTGACTTTTGGATATTTATTTTGTATTTTGCTACTTTACTGAATTCATTTATCAGTTCTAGTAGTATTTTGCTGAAATCTTTAGGATTCTTGACATACAGTATCATGTCATCTGCAAAAGAATGGGTTTTACTTTTTCCCTTCCAATCTGGTTTCTTTTTATTACTTCTTCTTGTCTGATTGCTGGGCCTAGGACTTCCAGTACTGTGTTTAATAAGATTGGTGAAAGTGGACATCCCTGTCTTGTTCCCAGTCTTAAGGGAAATGCTTTTAGTTTTTGCCCATTGAGTATGATGGTGGCTGTGGGTTTGTTGTACATGGCCTTTATTATGTTAAGGAGTGTTCCTTTTTTTCTCCATTTTGCTAAGAGTTGTTGTTGTTTTTAATCATAAATGGTGCTGGATTTTATAAAATGCTTTTCTGCATCTATTGATATCATCCTGTGATTTTTATCCTTCATTTTGTTTGTGTGTTGTATCATGTTTATTGATTTGTAGGATGTACCAACCTTGCATCCCCAGAATAATTCCCACTTGATCATGGTGTGTTATCTTATTAATGTATTGCTGGATCCAGTTTGCTAATATATGTACATATATGTATTTATATGTGTGTGTATATATATATTTTAATCCTCACCAGAGAATGTGTTTCCATTGATTTGAGAGAGAGAGAGAAAGAGAGACAGACAGACATTGATGTGAGAAAGAAAGATCAATCAGTTGCCTCCTGTACACACCACAACCGGGGACCAAACCCACAACCTAGATATGTGCCCTGACCGGGAATTAAACCCACAGCCTTTTGGTGTATGGTATGATGCTCCAACTGAGCCACCCAGCCAAGGCCAGTTTGCTAATATTTTGTGGAGGATTTTAGCATCTGTGTTCATCAGTATATTGGCCTATAATTTTTTTTCTTTGTAGTGTCTTTATCTGATTTTGGAATTAGGATAATGCTGGCCCTGTAAAAAGAGCTTCAGA